ACCTCCCTTTCACACCCCTCAGCATCCCTACCGCCACTCCCTCATCTCCCCCACACCCTCCCCCCCCCCACAGCGGCATGTGCAGCAGTGGGAGAGAGAGGAGGAGAGGCGGCAGCAGTTCACTCACACCCGCCACCCCCATACCCTCCCCCCCACTGCTGCACCCGCAGTAGGGGGATGGAGGAGAAGGGGAGGGCGGGGGGGCTGTGTAGGAGCTGCGCTGGGAGAGAGAGGAGGAGAGGCGGCAGCAGTTCACTCACACCCGCCACTCCCATACCCTCCCCCCCCACTGCTGCACCCGCAGTAGGGGGATGGAGGAGAAGGGGGGGGGGGGGGGGCGGGGGGGGGGGGGGCTGTGTAGGAGCTGCGCGGGCGACGGGCCGGAAACCGTCGTGCGCAACACCCGCCACCCCCATACCCTCCCCACCATGCTGCACGATCAGCAGGGGGTTGGAGGAGAGGAGGGGGGGCGGGTGGGCGGTGTAGGGGCTGCGCGGGCGACAGCAGGTCGCACGACGAGCAGGAAACCGTCGTGCGCCACGGGCGCACGACGGGCACAAAATCGACGCACGCCCGGGGCGCGCGACGTGCTGAAAATCAACGCGCGCCCGGGGCGCACAACGGGCAGAAAACCGACGGGCGCCCGGAGCGTGCGACGGGCAGCAGAGTGACGCATTAGAAGCGAAGGGTGGGCCCAATGAGAATGGTCCAGGATCAGAACTCACTCTGATAGCATGCCAGAATAGCTAGTTAGTCTTAGAACCCATGACTAGGGTTGAGGGAGCTAACATGAGTCTTGAGAGAATTGAAGCAAGGAAAAGTCGAGAAAGATGGGTTTCACTATTGAGAAAGGTACAAGATATAGCAAGGAGAAAGCCACATGGTACACCACCTACAGCAAGTGAGATACACTACAGCCTACACTACAGACAGTTATAAAGAACATATAAGTATATTCTAACAGGATTGGCACGGGTGGTGAGTGTCATCGTAGCTTTCCTTAGTGTTCTCTAGCACTAGTGCGTTCACAGGGCATAACCGCAAGAGTTTCGTTAGCAGAAGTTGAGAACAACAGTCTGCCAGTGTTTCATAGAGGCAAGACGCACTGTACCAGCACTACAGAAAGGCGATCTGCCAACAAAGCAAGGCGACAAAGCGGCTTGCCAATGCTACAGCAGATTGGTCTGCTAGCGTTGCATCCACAGGTGACAGTAGCGCAAGTGTGCACCCACTTCGCAGGTGCGCGGCGACGGTCGAGTACGTTATCTACCGTCGCGTAGATGCCAAGTCGGCCACGTGCCGACAATTGTGCCTAACGCTCCACGTCGACTTTGGGATACCAGCCCGAGGTCGCCTTCGCCATTGCATCTTCGACGAGCCTTGCGTGCCTCCGCAGAACCTCGTCGAGGAGGTGACTTGGTCGACCGGTTCGACCACCTGACGCCCTGGTCGACGACCTCCCTCATCGACCACCACTCCCGTCGAGGACCGCCCTGGTCGACGGAACCCTCTGTCAACCAACTCGGTCAGCTACTGTTGTCGAACTCCTGTCCTCGACGGCGCCTCACAAGTCCCGCGTATAGGTCGACGACCTCTTTTGTCGACCACCCCCATGGCAAGTCGACAAATCCTTTCGTCCACCACGCCAGTCAAAATCTGCCGCCGGCTTCCAGTTGTCGGCGGCTTCGCAACAGTCTTCGGCAAGTCGACCAACTCCATCGACCTGCGCGCGTCGAACTCTGCGAATCGTCAGCCGCACCTCCCGCGCACCCGACCAACGTTGGCTTCGCCCAAGCGAGGGCAGGGCCAACACCCAGTTCCTGTCAACACTCCCCTGCCGCGCTCACGCTTGGGCACCCAACGCGCACGGCAGAACTACACAGAAAAGAATCGTTGTCAGCGTGCACCCAACATACAGCACGCTGTCACCGCACCAGCCATGAAGAAGGGCATGGCACCTACTCATGCATGTCGTCATGCGTAGCCGACCAGACACAGCGAATGTGATCCACAGCTGAACTCCAGGGTGGTTTCACGGGTTTTGTCGAGGTAGGCGAAGCAGCGGTCGACATCGCACCAGTGCTTATTGCTCCTCACCGCCAGGCCGCTCCCCAGCTTGCCACACGCGAAGGTGCTGTCGGGCCTCGTTATCGTCGCCGCGAATTGCATCAAGCTGATCTTCTGCTGGTACTCTCCTCCTCGCGCTCCTGACCCTTTTTGTCGTCGAATGTTAGCTCAGTGTAGGTGTCGACGGAAACCGGTGTCTTCGGGATTGGCCCGGTCTGCTCCTCATTGATAAAGCGCATGCGCAACTTGTCGACGTACGACTGCTGGTGCAGCCACAGCTTCCTTGCCATCCTGTCTCGCACGATCTCCAGCCCTAGGTACTTCTCGATTTCGCACAGCTCAAAGGCGTCCTCCAGCAGCTCCTTCAGCATCGTGAGGCTGCTGTTGGCGGCTAGCAGGTCGTCGGCATAGACGAGCACACCTTGAAGTACAGTACCTCGTCGACCTGGTTCTTCTGCCAGTCCGCGCTGACCAGCTCTGCGTCGAGCGTTGAGTACCACAGCAGCGGCAACTGCTTCTACACGTAGAGCTCTTCACTAGCTTGCACACGCAGCCGGTCCTGTCGTTGTAGTAGTCCGGGTGGTACATGTAGAGCACGCGACCAAGCTTGCTCTACAGGAACGCGTTCTTCATGTCAAGCTGTATCAGATTCAGGTCCAAGATGGCGACAATGCTGAGAAAGATCCTCAGCCTGGTGTAGCTCCTGACCGGGGCGTACATCTCGTCGTAGTCGGCGTAGTATGTTAGAATCATAGTAGCCATAGCTAGGGTGAAAGCTAGGCAAGTGTCGAGAGAAAAGTTGAGAAGGAAAATGAATGAATGTTTCACTAAGAGAAGAAAGTACAAGATTTAGGAGTGAGAGATGGCAAAGGGTGCACCATCTACAAGGACTATAACAGTAACTACACTACAGCTATAACTATATGCAGTTATACAGAAATATATATAAAATATATTCTGACACACCCCCTAACTGCATGCAGGAATAGCCATGTGCAGAACACCCCCTGAAGGGGTACACCCTGCTCAGCGGAAGAAGGAGAGGGCAAATGAGGAGGCGGCTGATGCTGCAGCTGGATTCACAACACCCCCTCAACCTCCCCCTGCACAGCAGAAGCAGCAGCGGTGAGGAGAGAAAGGAGGAGGCGTGGCGACATTTGCGGCAGTTGTGTCACCCACCACCCACATCCCCTGAGCCTCCCCACCACTTCACACTCCCCCCCACAGCAGCAGGTGCGGCTGGGAGAGAGAGGAGGCAGGCTGGCACTGTAGGTGCAACCTCCCCCTCACACCCTCCCCTCCCCTCCCCCCCCCCCCCACCCCAACTACTGCACGTGCAGCAGGGAGAGGGAGGAGAAGAGGGGGAAGGGGTGGGGTAGGGGCTGTGCATGGAGCTGCAGATGCGCGTGCAGAGGGCAGCAGGGCGCACGGGGCGCACAAGACAGCAGGGCGCGCAGGGCGCGCTGGACAGCAGGGCGCGCGAGGCGCGCAGGGCAGCAGGAAGGGCTGTAGCGGCAACAGCAAGGGCTGTAGCTGCAACAGCGAGGGCTGAAGTGGCAGCAGCAAGGGCTGTAGCGGCAACAGCAAGGGCTGTAGCGGCAGCAGCAGGGGCTGTAGCGGCAGCAGCAAGGGCTGTAGCGGCAGCAGCAAGGGCTGTAGCGGCAACAGCAAGGGCTGTAGTGGCCACAGCAAGGGCTGTAGTGGCAGTAGCAAGGGCTGTAGCGGCAACAGCAAGGGCTGTAGCGGCCGCAGCAAGGACTGTAGTGGCAGCGGCAAGGGCTGTAGCGGCAGCAGCAGGGGCTGTAGCGGCAGCAGTAAGGGCTGTAGCGGCAGCAGCAAGGGCTGTAGCGGCAACAGCAAGGGCTGTAGCGGCCGCAGTAAGGGCTGTAGTGGCAGCAGCAAGGGCTGTAGCGGCAGCAGCAAGGGCTGTAGCGGCAACAGCAAGGGCTGTAGCGGCCACAGCAAGGACTGTAGCGGCAGCAGCAAGGGCTGTAGCGGCAGCAGCAAGGGCTGTAGCAGCAGCAGCAAGGGCTGTAGCGGCAACAGCAAGGGCTGTAGCGGCCGCAGCAAGGACTGTAGCGGCAGCAGCAAGGGCTGTAGCGGCAGCAGCAAGGGCTGTAGCAGCAGCAGCAAGGGCTGTAGCGGCAACAGCAAGGGCTGTAGTGGCCGCAGCAAGGGCTGTAGCGGCAGCAGCAAGGGCTGTAGCAGTAGCAGCAAGGGCTGTAGCGGCAACAGCAAGGGCTGTAGCGGCCACAGTAAGGGCTGTAGTGGCAGTAGGAAGGGCTGTAGTGGCAACAACAAGGGCTGTAGCGGCCGCAGCAAGGACTGTAGCGGCAGCAGCAAGGGCTGTAGCGGCAGCAGCAAGGGCTGTAGCGGCAGCAGCAAGGGCTGTAGCGGCAACAGCAAGGGCTGTAGCGGCCGCAGCAAGGGCTGTAGTGGCAGCAGCAAGGGCTGTAGCGGCAGCAGCAGGGGCTGTAGCGGCAGCAGCAAGGTCTGTAGCGGCCGCAGCAAGGGCTGTAGCGGCAGCAGCAAGGGCTGTAGCGGCAGCAGCAGGGGCTGTAGCGGCAGTAGCCTCTACAGCAAGGCAAGGGCGGCAGCAGCAGTTGCTGAGTGGCAGTGAAGCCGGTGCACGCAGCAGGGGTAGTGCACGAGCGGCGCTGGTAAGGAGCAGACGGCAGCGCAGCAGCGCAGAAAGGGTGCTTGCCAGCAGCACAGGCAGGGCGCTGGCCAGCAGCGCAGGCAGGGCGCTTGCCGGCGGCGCAGGGAAGCGTGCGGGCAATGCAAGCCGCTTGCGCAGCGTGCAGGCAGCGCGCTGGGCGGGGGGGGGCTGGTGCTGCAGATCCCCTCCCCCCCACTGCTGCACTCGCAGCAGGGGAATGGAGGAGAAGGGGGGGGGGGGGGGCGGGGGGGCTGGTGCTGCAGACCCCCTCCCCCTACTGCTGCACCCGCAGCAGAGGGAGAGAGAAGGGGGTGGGGGGGCTGGTGCTGCAGATCCCCTCCCCCCCCACTGCTGCTCCACTATCCGCCACCCCCCAGGGATGGAGGAGAAAGGGGGGGCTGGGGGGCTGGTGCTGCAGATCCCCTCCCCCCCACTGCTGCACTCTCAACAAAAAATGGAGAAGGGGGGGGGGGGGGGGCGGGGGGGCTGGTGCTGCTGATCCCCTCCCCCTACTGCTGCACCCGTAGCAGAGGGAGAGAGGAGAAGGGGGGGGGGGGGGGGGGCTGGTGCTGCAGATCCCCTCCCACCCCACTGCTGCTCCACTATCCGCCACCCCCCAGGGATGGAGGAGAAGAGGGGGCGGGGGGGGGCTGGTGCTGCAGATCCCCTCCCCCCCACTGCTGCACCCGCAGCAGGGAAATGGAGGAGAAAGGGGGGGCGGAGGGGCATCAGTCGCGGGCGTAGGGACGCCGGACGACGGGCCGGGGCGCGTGGGCTAGGGGCGACGGGACGGGCTAGGAGCGACGGGCCTACGGGCCGTGCTAGGGGCGACGGGCCGGCCTAGGGGCGACGGGCCGTGGCGACAGGCCTAGGGGCGACGGGCCGGGGCGACAGGCCTAGGGGCAACGGGCGACGGGCGACGGGCCGGGGCCTGGGCCTAGGGGCCTAGGGGCGACGGGCGTAAGGGCGACGGGCCGAGGGGCGACGGGCTAGGGGCCGGGGTCTAGGGGCGTCGAGCGACGGGGCCGACGGGCCTAGGGGCGGCGGACGCAAGCGACGGGCCGGGGGCCGGAGTCTAGGGGCGACGGGCGTAGGGGCGACGCGCGATGGGCGACGGGCCGGGACCGGGGCCTAGGGGCGTCGGGCGCGAGCAACGGGCTAGGGGCCGGGGCCTAGGGGCGACAGGCCGAGGGGCGACGAGCCTAGGGGCGACGGGCGCGAGCGACGGGCCGGGGCCGAGAGCTAGGGGCGACGGGCGCGGGGCGACGGGCCGGGGCCTAGGGGCTACGGGCGACGGGCCGTGCCGAACGTCGAGAGGAGGGCCGCACTAGGGCGGCGCGCAGGGTAGCAGGTGGTGGGCCCACGTTTTGTAATCACTCTAATACCATGTTAGAATCATAGTAGCCATAGCTAGGGTGAAAGCTAGGCAAGTGTCGAGAGAAAAGTTGAGAAGGAAAATGAATGAATGTTTCACTAAGAGAAGATATAGGAGTGAGAGATGGCAAAGGGTGCACCACCTACAGGGACTATAACAGTAACTACACTACAGCTATAACTATATGCAGTTATACAAAAATATGTATAAAATATATTCTGACACAGTACACCTGCATGAAGCCTTTCATAACCAACCTCACCTTCTCCAGAACGACCGTTTCGTCATCAGCACCCACCAGTTCTTCATGATGTTTACCCCGCGCGGACGCTCGACTTGCTCCCAAGTGCCGTTGGCAACGAGGCTGCGGATCCCCTCGTCCATGGCGGCCTTCATCGCCTTGCCCTTCCAGCTCGCCAACGCCTCCTTCAGCGACATCGGTGCCTGAGGTTAGCGTGCATGTCGGGGTCGAGCTCGCGGAGGTCAACGTTGCTTCAGCGTCGTCGAGCAGCGTAGTGAAGGCAGCTGGCGGTAGACAAGCGTGGAAGCTCAGCCGCCCCGGCGGCTTCCAAGTTCGACCTAAACGTCGCGGTTCAGGTTTCTCGACCGAAACCTCCACCACGTCGCTGTCAGTAGACTCCTCTCCTGCCGACAGCCCCCCTTCGTCGTCGACGAGCTGCTTCACCAGCATCCGCTCCTTAGCCGATACCTGTTTTGTCGACAGCTCCCCTGCCAACTGCCCCGTTTGCAGCTCCTCTATCGGCAGCACTTCTGCAGTTGCCTCCTTCTTTACCAGCTCCCCTATCTGCTGCTCCCCAGTTGTCGACGGCCGCACACCCTTGTCGACGAGCTTGGCGTCACGTCGGCCACCGGCGATGCCACATGTCTACGCCACAGGCGACACCTCAAGGCTCCCCTCATCGCCGGTGGCCGACGCCGACGTCGGCTCAGCCAGGTCCGCGAAGAGGGGTGGTACAGGGGGAACATGGGGAGGAGGAGGTGGAGGGACGTCCTTGACGTCTTCATCAGCACGCTCGCCGATTTTTGCGAGCAGCGGGAATAGTGCTGTCGAGGAGTCCGTCGGCGGGGTGGCCTTCGTCCGCCTCGATGCCGGCCCATACTTCGCCTTTTACACCTCCAACGACAACGTCTCGTAGAAGATTGCCTCCACCGTGGTGAGATCTTGCGGTCGGTGAGGTCGAATACCTCCTAGCCCTTGCTCTCTAGCAGCACCCCAAGGTGAATCCCGCAACGAGCCTTCGGCGCCAGCTTTCCACCGCGCCGCTGCTCGTGGACCATGAACTGCACCATGCAGCCCCACACCCGTGCCAGTGTAAGATCGGGCTTCTTCTCGGTCAGCAGCTGGTACGGAGTTGTCCCCGACGTTGTCATCGACTGCTCCAGGCAGTTGCGCACCCAAACAGCCTGCCGCAGGGCGAGGTGCTATCAGTGGTGCTGCACTCCCATGTGCAGCAGCATAGTCCGCATTGCCTCGACGACCGTTCGCATCTCCGATTCTGCCATGCTGTTCTGCTGGGAGGATTATGGGTAGGTCAAGTCGTGGACGATGCCCTTCCCGTCGACGAAGTCGATGAACTCCCTCCCAAGGAACTCCCCTCTATGGTCAGAGCGGAGCATCAACACCGTCTTTTTTGTCTGCCACTCCACCACCAGCAGCCACTTCTCAAACTCTCGTAGTACATCGTTTTTTTTAGCGACCGGCTTTACCCACATGTACCAATTGTGGCGGTCCTTGAAATATAGGTTGCCGTCCTTGGCAGCCACCCGGAATGGCCCACACAATTCAATGTGCACAACAACGAGTGCTTCCTCTGCGTCTGAAACCTTGTCGGGAAAGGTGTGCTGCCCCAGCTTCCCGGCGACGCACGAGACACACGGTAAGTCAGCCCCGGTCGATGGCTTGATATTGAGGCCGGTGGCGACTTCATGCTTCGCCAAGCATTTGATCATGTTGATGCCGACGTGCGCGAGCCTCGTGTGCCACCGGTCGGGGGTCAACTTTGTTGTAGAAGCGATCAGCCGCGGAGCTACCACTTCGGTCGACTTTGATGACGGCTCTGTCGAGCAGGGGCGAAGGTCGTTGCAGAAGACATGTCCAGTGTAGCGTGCTCGACTGAGTACCTCGCCTGCACTCGACACGAGAAGCATCTGATCTCCGTCGTCTTGTAGCTCTACGCCGCTTTCTTGCAGCTGGCCGGCGGACAGCAGGTTCGCCTGCACTCCCGGGACGTAGAGCACGTCGGGGATGAGAATCCGCTTCCCGGCCTCCCCTTGCAGAGCAATGGTGCTGCGACCCTCGACGGTCTGCAGAGCCCCATTGAAACTGCGCACATGCTTCACGTCGCCGCTCGGCGCCGCCATGTCGATGAAGGCCTCCTTCGTCCCAAGGAGGTGGTGCGAGCAGCCGTTGTCGAGCAGCACTACCGTCGGGTTTGGTTGCACGGCGGCCACGACCGCCTTAAAGTCCTCCCCGGCTTCGGGTGCAAGCGAAAGTGTCGGCTCCACAACGCTGACCATTAAGCACGATGCCTCCGCATCGCCTGGGATCTTGCCGCTGGAGGAGTCTATGTCCTTCGTCGACGACGTCTTCTTCGACGTGCGCTTCTCCTTGCGCGGCTTCTCATCCCGACTTCGACGACCGTTGGTCGAATGCCCACGGCCTCCCTTGTGGTCATTGTCGTCGAAGTCGTCGCGGTCGGGACACTCGTAGGAAAGGTGGTCGGGGTCGCCGCAGACTCAGCAATCTCGTCGTCGACCACCACCTCCACGACCCTTGTCCCGCGTCGACTTCGTCTGGTCGACAACTTTCGTCAACCTTCCACCTTCGTTACCACCTCTGCCCGGCTTCTTGCGCTGCCACTGCTGACAACTCTGCTTCGTCGGGGCGGCGTGATTCGCTCGTGGAAGGAGCTTGGTGGGTCGCTCTACTTCATGCATCCCATCATCCTTAATGATGTGGCTAGTGAAGGTGTCCTTGTCAAGCGACTCCCTCATGTCGGGCATCACCAACATCCGGCATATGAGGTTGTAGCCGCTCGGGAGGCCCTTGAAGACGTGCGTGATGTATGACGCCATCAAGAAGTCGACGCCTGCCATCCACATGTTGGCGAGGATCCGTCGAGCTCGGTTGCTGTCACAGTAATAACTGGTGAATGAATGACTAGAACTGACAAAGACAAGGAAGATATAGCAAACACTGGTCAACCCTAGCCAACCCTAAACATAAGTGTACACCACCTAGCCTAGCAAATACAAACCATAACAATTATAGTTTGACACACCCCCACATTCAAGGTGACGGCAGTCCTGTGGAAAGCAACACACAGTCTAAGAGCAAGGGTCAGAGGACCAGTCAGCAAGAACAAAACAAATCTCAGGGTGGATCTCAAGGTCACCACGCAGTCCGAGAACAAACAAGAGGCCAGAAGGCCAGTTCACATGCAAGGATATAGCAAATATAAGAGATGCAAGAGTACAAGACATGCATGACAAGCATCTCTACAGAAGCAAGGGGCCACAAGGCCTGTCCACAAGCACAGATATAGGATATATAGTGAGATGCAAGAGTACAAGACAAAGCATCTCTACGCAAGCAGCTGAGGGCCTGTAGACACAAGGCCAAGCTGGGTGCAGAAACGCTGGTGGTCACAAGGCGACAATGCCTTGGTGAAGATATCTGCAGTGTTGGCCTCATAGACCATACGTCGCACGAGTGCCTGGCCACGCTGCTGCAACTCTTGCAGAAGGAAGTAACGAAGCTGGATGTGCTTCGCCTTCCCAACCAGTCGGAGCTCCTCGCACAACACGATAGCAGAGCTGTTGTTGGCAAACAAGACTGGGGGAGAGCGAGGCCGCTCACCAAGGTCGGTGAGGAGGAAAGACAGCCAGCGAAGCTCCTGAGTGGCCATGGCCGCAGCATACACCTCGGCCTCACAGCTGGAACTAGAGACGGACGATGCTCGAGTCGACCTCCACAAAAAAGCTCCGGTCCCAAGGCTGAAGCAGTAACCTTGTATAGACCGCAGCGACTCTGCGTCGCCGGCCCACGATGAGTCCGAGAAGCATGTTAGTGTAACTGGCTGCTTCCCTCCAAGGACAAGTCCCATGCCTGATGTACTCGCCACATACTTCGCCACCCTCTTAGCAGCGTACCAGTCGACGGTGTGCCAGCGCTGCAGCAAGGGGGTTAAAGTGCGTTGCATTCGCAGGATAGCAATGCACCTGCTTCGCAGGTGCTCGCAGCTGGTTGGCGTGCTGTGTCAGAATGTTATATTACTTGCTTTGTGTAGGCTATAGTGGGGTAGCCCATAAGGGGTACAACCCAATTAGGGTT